TGGCTGTGGCGAGTTCGTTGTCCTTGTGCTTCGAGGATGTCTCGGGCGACTGGGGCCTTCGAGGTCCCAGAGCCTTAGTGGCAGATCGCGTGGTGAGGAGTTGAGGGGTCTCGAAGTCGCCGCGCGGTCTGCCACCGCACCATTTCGGGACCCCCAAGCCGCGGCGGGCCGCTGGTCTCTGGTCCAGGAGGGGTGCAATCAAGAATTGAAGGTATTCCGGGGTGGCCATTCATATATATATATATATACACATGTCTATACGACCTTTCTTCGGGTGATAAGGAGGTCTGGGGGGTGCGGAACCGACGTCTCATGCAATCGAACCAACTATTGATCATTTCACTACTGATATCACCATTGGTCGCACAATCGAATTCATTGCCGATCTCTCAATCAATCTCACTATCGATATCACTGTCGATCTCACTACCGATCTCACAATCGATCCCACTATCTGTACTACACTCGATTTCACTATCGATCTCATTTTCCCTGTCCACTATCGGTATTACTATCAACCGCATTATCGATCCCACTATTCCTGTCACTATCGATCTCACAGTCGATCTCACCATCGGTCTCACAATCGCCCTCACTACCGATTGTACTATGTATGTTACTGTCGATCTCACTATCGATGTCACTACCGATCTCACAGTCGCCCTTACTATCGCTCTCACTATCGACATTACGATCGATCTCATATTCCATGTTTGTTTTTACTATCGATCTCACGGTTGATCTCACTATCGATATGACTATCGATCTCACAAACGATCTCCTTATCCATCTCACCATCGGTCCCACTATCGATTTCATTGTCGATCAATTGATCGATCATCTCCTTACCGATCTCTCTATCAATCTCACTGTCGATCTCATTGTCGATCTCTCTTTCGATCTCACTATGCATCTCACTATCGATATCACCATCGATCTCACTATCGACTTCAAACTATCGAGTTCACTATCGATTTTATCATCGATCGCACTGTCGCACAATCGCCCTCACTATCGATCTCACTATCGATCTCACCATCCCTCTCGCGATCGGCCTCCCTATCGGTCTCACTAAGCATTATCGATCTCTTTATCGATCTCAACATCGATCTCGCTATCGGTCTCAGTGTCGATACGATTATCGATCGTACTATCGGTCGTGCTGTCGATTTCACTAGACATTGGTACCGATCCCACAATCCACCTCGCAGTCGCCCTCAGGATCGATATCACAATCCATATTATTGTATATCTCACCATCGATCAGACTATCGATCTCGCTATTGACCTCGCCATCGGTCTCACTATCGATCTCACCACCGATCTCATCATCGTCTTCAATATCGCTCCCACTATCGATCTCAGTATCGACTCTATCGATCTCACCACCGTTCTCATCATCGTTCCCAATATCGCCCCCACTATCGATCTCACTATCGATCTAATTATCGATTCCACTATCGATCTCACAATCGATCTCACTATCGATCTTATCGATCCTACTATCGATCACAGGGAACACCACGGGATACCACGGGACACGGCGAGACACCGCGGGACACCGCGGGCCACCATCGGGACACCACGGCGGGACACCACGGCGGGACACCGTGGGACGCCGCGGGACACCGTGAGACGCCGCGGGACACCATAGGACACCACGGGGCACCACGGGACGCCATAACGGGACACCACGGGACGCCATAATAGGACACCGCGGGACGCCGCGGGACACCATCGGGACACCATCGGGACACTTCGGCGGGACACCGCCGAACACCATCGACACACCACCAGGACACCATTGCGGCACCAATCGAGACACCGCGGACCACCATGGGACGCCATGGGACACAGCGGGACACCACGGGACACCATCGGGACACCTCGGAGGGATACCGCGGGACACCATCGACGCACCAGCAGGACACCATCGCGACACCAATCGAGACACCGCAGAACCCTACGGAACACCACGGGACACCATCGGGACACCACGGCGGGACACCCACGGCACCCACCCACAGCGCGGCCGGGGCGGGGGGGGCGAATTTCTGTCCTCGCCGCGCCCTGGCCAGAGGAGGGTTCATTCTTTTCGCCCGCCCACGCAGATTCGCCCCGCCCGCGCGCGCCACGAACCCGAAGCCGAAACCGATTTCCCGATTGAGGCGCCCCGTTCCACTTCGATCTAACCCCTCACCTCTGATCGATGCAGTGACGCTGAGAAGCTGCAGTCGACATTCCCCCTCGCCGTCGTCCTCCTCCATCGTCCCTCCCCTCTGCGCCTCAAATTCTTGTACCATTTGTTCTCCGCTTCGCAGTCGGGCTGCGCTGTGCTTTTTGTCGTTTTCGCAGTCGGGCGCTGTTTTCATGTTATTTTCCGAGCGGGTGCCAACTGCACACTCTTCTGCCCGCGTGTTCTGCCCGAAACGCGGAACAATTACGGGAGTGGTGCACGAGCGCCGTGCTAAGGGTTGGCGCACGGCTTCTGTATGCACCGCTTGGGGGATTTATCTTCGGGGACCTCGGCAGGCTGTGGATATGTTTTGTTCGCCCGGTTGCTTTTTTGGGCATCCACATTGAGTGCCGCCAGAAGTTGGCCAACGGTCGTGGAGACCCTCCACGGCCTGCGCCTCGCGAGGCCTGGAGGGCGCCAGGGCTGTAAAGGCCCCAAAGAGAACGCTCCGCGCCCGTGACGGCTTCCCCGCGCCAGCAGCGGGATCCCCGCGATTCCCCCGCGCAGAAAAAACGCGCGCAATGTTTGGCAAGTTCGCCCGGGGAAAAGCAATATGGTCGCGCGGTTGCTCTTGTCGCCACATGAAACGTGCGTGAAACGCGCGTGTTTTCTGTTACTTCGATCGCAGCAGAGTGCACATGGCTTTGCCGCGGCGGCATCGACGGCTGGAGATGCAGAAGGGGAGCAATATGAGCAGGACGGGGAATGGGCACCAGGAGGCGCAGTGGAGGATGAGGAGGAGGGGCAGGACAAGGGGAATGCCAAGCACGCGGGATGACGATGGGTGGCAGGAGGGGGGGGGCAGGTGCCGTGGCAGGAGCGTCGTCGGCACCATTGCGGTCCCCTACAGCGGCGCTCAGTGGACATATCTGGGGGACTAGGGGACGGAGACAGCGGGGGGGAGAAATAATGGGACGATGATCAGGGGGGCGAACCGTGAGTAAGAGCGCTGGTGACATCGGCGGCTGGAACCGCGCTGTCCGCGGGGGGAATGCGGCAGATATACGGGAACGCGGCAGGACAACGCGCCCGCGCCCGCCCGCCATGCCCAACCCCAGCATGCCACTCCAGCGCAACGGGCGGCGGGCAGGCGCCCGCGGCCGCCCTTGGGCGAATCTTTGCCGCGCCTTGTTTTCACCTCTTCCTCGCCATCGCCCCCCGCCCCCCCCCTCGCCCTCGCCATCCTCGCGCCCCCTCCCGCGCGCTCAAAACTTGGGCGCACGCGCCCGCGCCGCCGCTGGAAATCGCGGCGGTGGCGGCAGGGGCGGAGACGATGGCTGCAGCGTCGGTGGTTCTTGACAGCCGCGGCGCGGCGCGGCGCTGGCGGCGCTGATCGCAAGCGCCCCAAACAGTGCTGGCGCGAGGGATGCCGTCGTTTCGCGCCCGAGAAATAGGACGGACGAGCAGGGAACGCCCACTTGGCGGACGGGCCTGGGGGAAGAGGGGGAGGGCGGGGGCGGGGGCGGGGGCGGGCGGGAGAGGCGCGGGCAGGAAAAGAGGAAAGGCATGGGGATGGCGAGGCGGAGGGGGAGTCGGACTAGGAGAGGAGAAGGACCACGGGCGAGGGGGACGAGGAGGAAGAGGATGATCAAGAGGAGAGGGGGCGGGGGGTGGGGCGGAGGTGGACGAGGGAAAAGACGACGGGGGCGGGGGGGAAGGAGAAGGAGGGGGAGGGGGGGGAGGAATTTGAGGACGACGACGAGAAGGGGGGGCACGCCCGCCGCCTGCGCTCGCGCGGCGGCGGCCGTTGCGGCGCGGCGGCGCGACGACGCCAAAGACGACGGCGGCGGGGCGGCGACGACGACGACGACAGCGGCGGCGACTAGGGAAGAAAAAGGACGGGGGGGGAGGCGGAGACCCGGGGAGGAGGACGAGGGGGGGAACGGGGCGTCGAAGGCAAGAGGAGGAGGACATGGCCCGCCGCGCGAACCCGGGCGATCGCGGGGCCTTTCCGGGAACTCCAGATGTCGCTGGCGCCGAGGCCGGGAAATGGCCGGGAATGGTCGGGAATGCACAGGGGCCCTCCGGGGAGTTGCCAGGGAACGCTCACTCCAGAGCGCGAGGTTGTCCTGCCCACTTCCTGCCGGGTTCCTGCCGAATTCAAGGTTGTCTTGCCCATTTTCTGTCATGTCGCGCAGGGTGCAAGGTTTTCTTGCGGGCGTCTTTCCCATGTCCTCCCGGGTACAAGGTTTTCCTGCCTGCGTCTTGCCAATTGCCTGCCGGTTGGAAGGTTTTCATTTTTTCTTATTCTTTTTTGGCCGAATAAGGTTTTCTTCATTATGTATGTGTTGTTGCATTTCGTGCCGGACGCGCGCTTCCCTGCCCTGCTTACTTGTTGCCGAATGCATGGTTTTCTCTCGTGCGGGGAGATCTACACAGCACACGCACCTCCGCAGCCCTTGGCCAGGCTCATCCTGGACCCCAGGGTGGTGCGTACGCCTCCCTGGCCTAGCCAGGAGAGCGCATACACCGGTCCTGAGCCCAGGATGTGTATGGATGTCGTCGCCCTACTCCTCGGAGTAGCCGTTGGCACCACCACCAATATCGGCGGTTGCTCACACCGATGGAAGATGATCCCGAACTCGGCGACGGCGGTAAAGCTCGGGTGACCGAAAGATTTCCATTGGCACCAACATCAAGGATAATCTCCCCCCAGTGGGGAGACCCCCCTGTGCTGGTGTTGGTGTCAACTTCCAGATTTCCAAGGTCCCGCCCCAGGGAGAGGCCCCCACTGGACCTCTGGCCCGCCGGCGGCCCTGGCGAGGCGCTGCTCCACCACCCGGACAAGAACCCGGACAGGGCCGAGGAGGCCTCAGTGCGGGGTCCGGCGGGCTTTCTGCCGCCAGCTGGTCGTTTGGTGGGTCTGCCGCTGCTGCTCTGGAAAGTCCACGATGTCTGAGCTTTTCGGCCGTTCTCGTAGGTTCACGGCAGTTTTCTAGCCTGGGGGTGGTTTCCAGCAGCTGCGCCTCGACGAGGAGCTTCGGGGTTTGCCTGGACATTCCCGAACGACCGCAGGGGAGTCGAGTTATGACCTCAAAGTTTGTGGACAACGCTCGGAAAGGGCTCTTTCCTCAGGTCCGCGGACGGCCTGTCTGCACCGTACCGCGTTGGCGTCTCCCGAGGCGTTGTTGATCTTCGACCCAGGAATGGGGTACGGTGCACTGTTCTTCTGCCCTCAGAGCCAAAAAGCTGTGCACCGCACCGCGTTGTAGCGAGGCCTGAAGGGAGCCCAAACATGATACCGCTCTCACACCAGGTCAACGTAATGACGGGCCAGGCTCAGGGGGGGGGGCTCATCGACCCCCGATCGCCCGCTGATCGCCGACAGGGGCCGATAGCCCGCCCCCCAGGAGCGTGCGGGTTCGTTATCGGTGGCAAATTTCCGATCTGTCGGCGATGTATCGCCAATTCGAGGTTGATGGTTACCCCTTCTTGAGCCTGTCCCCGCCAAACGTGGCCCCTCAGCTTTTTTGGGGGGCACAGGGAGAATTTCAGAGGACGGGAAGGTACAAGTACCGCTGCCTTTTCGTGGAAGGACCTCGCAACGCGGAATCCGGGCCAGAACGCATCCTGGGAAAAGGTCATGGGAGAAGTGGTATCGATATATTGTTGCGGATCATGTGCAAACCTTGTTTTTGCGGGTCCAGTCGACGGTGGGGTATTGAATACCCCCGTTGGGGACTCTTCTCACTCTGAACCCAGCCTTTTTTCGGAAGTCTGATCTGCAGGGGTAGGCAGCGCATGTGACTGCTCGCAGCTTGCAAGGGATCGCGTTATCCCCAGATTTCTACAGGGAGATGACCCCCTTCCGTCCTTTCAGAGGAGGCAGGATAGCGCTCCCGACGGCGCACGATTACCAGTATTCCTCCTCGGTATTGCAACCCGAAGCCAGCGCCCGGGGACTCCTCCACAGGCGCAGCCAAAAAGCATCGCCCCCGAGCGGGCCCACGAGAACGGGAGAAGAAGGGAGGGGCGGCCGTCCAGGCGGACGCTGATCAGGTTTCAAATTTGTTCCCCGTCGGTTTTCGATGCCTTCCCTTAGTTTTCCTGCGGGTTCCCCGTTTCGTTTCCTATGGCTGTCCTTGGAATACGTATGGCTTACTTGCAGGTTTCTGTATAGTGTCATGCATTGGTAGTTTTCCTTAGGTGTCCAATGGTTTTCTTCAAGGTCCATCGCCTTCCCCTGGGTGTCGCATGGATTTTCTTTGAGTGTCCGATAATTGTCCTCAGGTGCTGTACAGTTGTCCTGAGGCGTCATATAATTCACCTGTCTTCTGGTGTCCTACAGTTATCCCGATGTTCCCGATGGGTTTCCGTAGGTTTCTGATGGCTTTCCTCAGGGTTCCGATTATTTCTTTCAGATTTCTATGGTATTTCTTAGGTGCGTTTCCCACAGCGACTTCGATGGGAGGTTGGCAGCTTCGCAGGGTTGTTTGGGTCTTTTTTCGCGGGAGGCGTCAAGGCTCCTTTCACAGGAAGTTGCGGACAGTCTTCTGCACCGTTCGCAGGCAGCTTCAAGTGGTTCCGAAACCTTTTTCGAGGTGGCTTTGAAATTGTTCATGCAGAGGCAAGCCCTGGGTGCATTTTGAATCCCACGTCCTTGCACTCGGCACACTACAGTCAACCCGCACCCAAGGGTACCCTTGCATCCTTGCCCCTTCTGCACATCCTTAGCGACTTTCGCTGACCAACCTCGTTCGAAAAACGGTAACGTGGCCCTCCAAGGCCCTTGTATCCGAACCGCGCATCCTTATGATACGGGTCGACTGTATTGATGGCTGTGGACATTTAGTTTTAGGCCGCTGCACGGTCGCAGCCCGAGCGTAAATTTGAGGTTTGACGCCTGATGCCCAGCACCTGGGACTCTGAATTCGGGTCCAGTGTCCTTTTGCAGGTCCCGCTGGTCTCGTGGTCTCTGTTCTTGCGGCTTCCATGTGCTCTACAGTCGACCCGTATTTCCCCAATCAGAGCTTGCCTCTGTAGGGGTCCTAGCGGATTCATAAGGTTAGGTGAGGTTCGCCGGCGATTTCCAGGGTGCCCAGGTGCTTAGGTGTTAGTTTCGCCGCCGATTTCCCGGGTGCCCGGGTGTTTGATAGCCCTATAGGTTTAAAGCCCTATAGCCCTATAGCTTTGTAGCCCCATAGCCCAATAGCCCTATAGTCCGATGCCCCTACAGCCCTATAGCCTTGTAGCCCTATACCCCTATAGCCCTATAGCCTACAGCCGAATGCCCCTATAGCCCTATAGCCTTGTAGCCCTATAGCCCAATAGTCCTATGGCCCAACAGCCCTATAGCCCTACAGCCCTATAGCCCTATAGCCCTACTGCCCTATAGCCATATAGTCCTATAGCCTTATGGCCCTATAAACCAATTATCCGATAGCCCTAAAATGATTATGATTGTTTTTTTTCTACGGTATCATATAAGGATGCGCGGTAATGGTGCAAGGGCGTTGGAAGGCCGCTTCGAGGCTTTTCGAGCGGTGCGCGGCCAAAGAAAGTGGCCAAGGATGGGCCGAGGAGGCGGCAAGGATGCAAGGGTGCCCTCGAGAAGGTTGCCTTACTATGCGGGTCGACTGTAATGCCGCGGGGCTCGTGTCTTCTGCTCCCGCGGGCCCCGCGCCCTCTCACGCAGCGGGTCCGCCGCTTTTTGCTGCCGCGGGCCCGTGTCCTCTGCCGCTGCGGGCTCCGTGTCCTCTGTGTCGTGGGTTGCGGGATTCGGGAGGAGAGGAGGGGCGCGGAAGCAGAGGGCACGGGGCCCGCGGCAACGACAGTGGACACTGAACTCGCAGCAGCAGAGGGGTGCCATCCTTCTCTTCGGCGTCACCCTTATATACTAATATTAAGTGTGCGTCGCCCACCCAGGGGCGACGCGCGCACCGAGAAACCTTCTAGTATATGCGTCGTGACGGGCGCTTTCTGCCCACACCGCTCGGGACAGGATGTACTACAAGATGGGTGTACTAGATGTTCGGGTCGGACGCGCCCCATCCAAGGAGGACATACAGTTCAGAGGAAACCCATGCCAAGAAACACCCTGCTTCCAGGGTGCTCTGGGTGTTTTGGGTTTCGATGGTTTTGCGATGGAATGCATGACGTTCCCACACCATAAATCAATGGACGTCCTGGGGTCTCAGGGTTGCGTGTCTTCTGGAAGGTTTCTGCTCTCTTCTGCGCCCTTGTCGCACCCGCGGCCGGCCGTCAGCTCGCCGGCCGCACGGGCGCCGCCCTCGGCCTTGCGCCGCCCGCGGACGCCGGCCCAGCCGCCGCCCCGGCCGCGGCTTCCTTCTTGACGCGGGGCCCGCGGCAGAGGGCTGCGTGGTCCGCGGCAGCAGAGGGCAGCAGAGGGACTGAGTATGGGACGCCTCGCCGCGGCCTCCCCGGGAGGGTTGGCCGCCGCGGGTCCCCACTCGGGAGGGGGAAGTTTTTTTCTCCACCTGTCAGCGGGCACCGCAGTTGAGAACCGCTCGCATGCAAGCGATCGCACCACATTTGAGCGGCCCTCCGCCCTGCTATGAGAGTTTTTTATCGGAGGTGAGGGGGTGAGATCGAAGTGGAACGGAGAGCCCCCTAACGGGAAATCGGTTTCGGCTTTGTGTTCGTTCGTGCGTGCCGTGCGCTGTGGGCGAGGCGAAGCTGCGTGGGTGGGCGAGAAGAAAGTCTCCTCCGGCTGAGGTACGGCCGGACCAGATGACTCCCTTCCGGCAACCGGTGCCGCGCGGTATCCCGCTGGTGTCCCGCTGTGGCTGAGGCGCGGCCAGACCAAATGACTCCCTTCCGGGGGCCGGTGCCGCGCGGTGTCCCGCCAGTGTCCCGTCGGTGTCCCGATGACGATGATGATAATAGAGCGGGCTCGGTTTGCAGTTGGGGCTGAGAGATTCTCACGAATGTTGGACGCAGGTTCCCAGACAACCCTGCGTCGTCACATTTTCCATAGTTTCTCTAGGTCAAGCGTCTGCAGCCACACTCCCAGGCCTCCGTTCTCGCGGTGCCCTGTGCACTCTCGAACCTCTACTGGGTTGCGCTGCGATCGGCCCCGCAGGCGGAGCCGAGCCGCCCCGCCAAGCTTGGCGAGCCAGCGGTCGCCGCTGCTGCTGCCTTGGGGGCCGCGGACGCGGCGGAGCGGGCGGAGGCCGCCTCGGGCGAGGCCTGCGCCGCGGGCGAGAAGGCGAGCGCCCGCCTCGACCTGCTCGAGGCCCGCGTCGCGAAGCTCACCGAGGTGCTCAGGGTGCGGGCGGCCGCACCTGAACTTCCGCCACCGCCGCCCACCGAGCCCTCGGCGGCTGCCTGGGCCGCGGTCTCGGCGGGGTTCTCCGCGCTCCTGGGCAGCTGGTTGCTGGAGCTGCTGAAGACGGGGGCGGCCTGCTGCCTCGTGCCCGTGTGCTGTCCGAGCAGGCGGCGCGATGGCGATGGCCCTGCAGTTGCTGGGCGCAGACCGGGGGTCGTACTTCACCCAGGACGGCCGGCCCGTCGCGGCGGCGGAGTGGTGCGGTAAGATGCTCTCGGGTCTCCACGTTGCGATTCTCTACTCGGGCGACCTTGATTATTGGCACGAACGGATTCTGTTGTGGCCTGCTAGTGCTGACCTCCCCCCTCGGAGATGGTTCGTGGCCACACCCGACGGTGACGTGTGCGCCGAGCCGCTCAGGGCGGGCATGGGCTGGGGTTTCCGCTTCGTCATCCTGGACTCCTCGGGCGGCAACGCGGTCACCCCTGCGGGGACGCTGCATGCCTTCGAGCCGCCGCCGAGCGACGACGACCTCGCTCAGTACATCACCGAGGCCATAGAGAAGGCCGCGCTGGACGGGCTCCGCATCGCCTCTCAGGACGAGCTGAAGTACCTTCGGCGTGACGGACAGGAGGTGCTGCTGGGCGACCTGGTGCCGCTCCCGCCCCCGCTGCAGGCGGCCGACCCCTTGGTGGAGGTGCCTCCGAGTGACCACGGGGGCCCGCCCGCCTCAGGGGACACGGTTCAGCCTGTGCAGGGGGCGGACGCGCCACGGGGCCGACACGTGCCCGAGCATGGGCGCGTCTGGGTCAGCCTCGAGACGGTGCCTGGCCAGATTGCCCGCGATGACGAGGTGAAGTTCAGCGAGTCCGCCTTGATCGATGACGACCGCGCCATCCATGTCCTGCCCAGCGGTAAGCGCATTGCCGCGCGGTTGGCCGACCTTCCCGTGGAGCCACTGCTTGACGAGTCGGGCCTGGGAGACGCCAGAACGCTCGGGCCGTTGCGCTACGACTCCCATGGGCAGCGCCATCTGGACTATCGCACGGGTGTCCTGGAGCTCCGCGAGGAGGCCTTGGGCGCGTTCCCGCTGACAGGAAGAACGATCTTTCTTGTGGCTCCAGCGGTGCATCGCCGAGCACGGCGGCACGCCCGACGGCCGACGCACCAAGTACCTCACGGAGGAGTCTCTGCAGCCCGACAGCACGGCTGGCCACCTCCACGACCTGTTGGGGCTCTCCATGTTCTTGAGCGCGGTGTGCGACCAGGTCGACGGGTGCAACTTGGCATGCATGGAGGCGGTCGCCAGATGCTGCCAACTAGCGGAGAAGACGAAGGGCTCCATGCGCACCGAGGGCCTCGAGTACTACATCGGGCGCGACCAGGGCGGCGCCACTCGGCGAGGTATCGCCGCGGCGCCGGGCCTGGCGCGCCACGCGACCGACCAATTGGCAAAGGAGGTGGAGATCGCCAAGCAGCGCCGGAAGTTCAGGGAGGAGTTGGCGGCGAAGCGCGGCGAGGGTAGCCGCAATAACAACAAACACAAGGGGGAGGACAAGGACAAGCCGAACAAGGAAAATTCGCCAGCGGGGTGAACTTCGCGGGGGCCACGCGTGGCGCGCGCGCGCCCGATCCAGAGAGCCGCTTAATTCATCCCGCGGCGGCCCCTCGTGCTGGAGATGGCGCACTCCCAATCGCCTCCTTCTGCGACCCTGGCATGATTCTCGCTGGTCGCCGCAGTGGATTATCTGCATGCATTTTGAAACGTTCCAAGGAGACGATCGAGGCGCTGAACTTGACGGCGGGCTACCCGGCCGACGAGTCCGCCACCTCGGACACTTCCCCCTGGCACCAGGCACTGTGTGAGCGAGTGGTACGGCTGCGCGCTGAGCGCCGCCCGCCTATTTCGGCGTCGTCTCGGACGGCTTGCGGGGAGCTGCAGGGACAACCCCTCCTTGGCTACACTGGGGAGGTTACGCCGCTACGATCCCATGCGCGACACTTGGTCTCTTGGCCTGACGTCGGCAACCGACCTGGGTGGCTGGCAGACAGGCTCACCGCTCGGGGCCAGTTTATTCTCTTGGATCGTGACCACTCGCTCGCGCTGCCGCAGCCCGAGCTTGAGGAGGTGATCAAGGCCGAGCAGCGGCTTCTACTCTATATGGATCCTGTTTTGAGAAAAAACACGCTAATGCTTACCCTGAGTTTGTTCGAGATGGACTAGCGCGAGGCTGCTTCAGGGTCGTCCGTCATCGGCGCGAAGGCGTGACCGTCTTCTTCGTCGCAAAGAAGGACGGCGGCCTGAGGCTCGTACTGGACTGCCGCCGATCTAATCAGAGGTCCACCAAGCCTGACCCAGCCGCGCTCTTCAGCGGGGCCGCCTTTGGCGACTTCGAGGTGGAGACTGGCCAGACAGCCTGGCACGGGGGCTGGACGTCAAGAGCGCTTTCTACCAGCACCGCCTGCCGTCATACCTGTGCGACTTCTTCGACTTGCCGCAGGCGCGCGCTGGCGCTGTGGGTGTGGCGCGCGTGCTGGGGCGGCCTGTCGAGCCGTGGGGCGTTGTGCACCCGCAGATGTCCGCGGTGCCAATGAGCTGGTCTTGGGGGCTTTACATGGCGCAGAGGGCCCACGAGTAGTCTCTGGACGACCACCCCCTCTTCGCGACCTGTCCGAGGGCTGTCGACTTCCGACCGCCCCCCATCGGTGCAGGATGGGCCAGCCTTTTCGCTGCATGTTGATAACCCGCTGCTGGTGGGCACCAATGAGGCGGAGGTCACCTCGAGGGGACGCCAGGCCTCTGCCGCCTTCGCTTCGCAGGCACTCGCAGTGCACCGCGAGCAGGACGCTACGCAGGATATGGACATGCTGGGCGCCAGGCTAACAGGCTCGCCTCCCACCGCACAGCTGTCAGAGAAGCGCGTCTGGAAGCTGTGCTTCGGCATCCAGTACCTGGTCGAGGTGAGGCGTCGGGCCACCTGCAGCGAGCTTGAGCATCTCATGGGTCATTGTACCTTTTGCGCGCTGGCCCAGCGCGAGGCCCTTGCTAATTTCTGCGCTGTGTACGCTTTCATCCGCGCAGGTTTTGTCGAGCGGGAGCCTCTGTGGGACTCGGTGGGCCGTGGGCTCAGAATCTCCCAGGGCATCCTCATCTTCCTGTCTCGTCGTCTGGATGCCGAGCGGCCCCAAGCAGTGAGCCACCGACGCGTGCGAGACGGGCCGCGCGTCTGTCATCGCCGATATGCCGATCGACTTCGTCAAGCGAGCGGTGAGGTGGCAGGAGAGGCGGCGATATCGACATACTCGATCTGGTGATGGGACTTACCGACCACGTGACCGAGCGAGAGGTGCGGAGGGGCTGGAGGGCGAGGACGGGGGCGTGCGATCGATCGACGACATGCGAGAGGTCGGCGACGTGGATCCGAGCTTCCCCGAGATCTTACCCCAGTATGTGAGGGCTGCCAAGTGGGTCTTCCAGCGTCGCAGGCCCATGGGGGACCCCGAGGCCACGCGTCGAAAGGAAGCACGAGGAGTAGCCGAGGCAATTCGTGTACATCTGTCTGACCCACAACTATGGGGTAAACGGGTGCTTCTCTTTGGCGACAACCCGACGCCTCGTCGAAGGGTCGGGTTCGAGACGCGCGGCTTCTCAACATTCTGCGCCGCTGGTTCGCCTTGCTGCTCCTGACAGGCACAGTCGTGTGCCACAGATGGCTGCCGTCTGAGCTGAACCCAGCGGATGAGCTCAGCCGCTGGGAGCGCAAGTCTGGCAAGCCGCTGCCGGTCGCGCTCGCCCCGCCTGGCCTCGCACCCCCCGCGCCGAGGCCAGCGCCGGGCGCTTGCGAGGGCCGCGGCGCCGGCGCTGGACGCGCCGCCGATTCCGAGGCGAGCGGAGGCCCCGCGTCCGACGAGGACGGGCCCTCCACGGGCGCCAGCTGCCGCGGCTGCGACGCCGCGGCCCTCGCGGCCGCCCCGCGGACCGCGCCTGCTGGGACTGCGGCCCGCGCGCAGCTCGGGCGCGCCAGGGGCTCCGCTGCTGGCGGCGGCCGAGCAGACGGCGCAGCTCGAGACGGCCGCGTTCGGCGCGCGCGCCGCAGGGGAGCCAGGGGCGGGGTCGCTCAACGTGAACGAGAGACGGCGGGCCTATGCGCGGCAGTCCACCCACGGGCCCGCTCGCGACACCATGCACCAGCTGGGGATCACCGAGCAGGCAGCCGTCCAGCAGCGGACTTCCACCAGCTACAACCGGTTGCTCTCTGCCTTCAGGATCTCTTGTGACCTCACCAGTCTCACCATGCCAGCCCGCTCGCTCGACGCTCGGGTCGTGCAGTTCTTCGATCACCTGTATCTGGAAGGGAAGGCACCCTCCGCCGGCGAGAAGTTTATTACAGTCCTCATGTTGTTCATCCCAGACTATCATGTTCGGGGCCGCCTGCCGCTGCCACGGGCGGGGCGGGCGCTGCGCGGCTGGAGGAGGCTCGCGCCTACCAGTGCGCGCAGGCCACTGCCTTGGGCGGTCTGCTGCGCGGTCGCGGTGCAGATCCTGGCCGAGGCAGCGACGGTCAGCCTGCCCTACGGCTTCGAGGCAGCCCTGGCCTGGATCATGATGGTGGACACGTATCTACGGCCAGGAGAGGCGATGAGGCTCACTGCAGCGCAGGTCTTGGGGCCCTGCGGGATCGTCTCGGACGTGGTGATCCACGTAAACCCCGTCTACATGCTGAGGGCCTCCAAGACAGGCGAGATGGACGAAACCGCGACGATCTCGCGACGCTGGATCGGAGCGTGTCTTGTCGCCCTTGCCTCGAGCCGCCGTGGGCGGCCGTTGTGGCCTCTCATGCTGTCGCAGCTGAAGGACCTTTTCGATCGCGCTGCCGCGCGAGTGGGACTCGCGCCGCTCTCGCCAGTTCTCTACATGGCCCGCCACTCAGGGGCGAGCATTGACCGCCAGGAGGGCAGGCTGAACCTCGACGAGGTCGCCAAGAGGGGACGCTGGCGCACGCTGAGCAGCGTGCGGCGCTACGAGAAGCGGGGCCTGCTGCAGGAAGTCTGGAACAACCTCAGCGTGCGCCAGCGCCAGTACTGCGAGTCAGCCGCGGCCGCATTCGCCGACAAGCTCGCGGCGCACTACTGAGGCAGCGGCAACGCCAGACGGCGGACCCCCTCTAGGACTACCAGCCATTCTACATAGAGCTGTTCGCGGGGTCCGAGGTCTGGAGCAAGGGCATGCGGCGACGCCGCTGCAAGGTCTACTCCTTCGACATCCTGCAGGGGCCCGAAGGCGACCTTCTCCGTCCTAGCGCGATGCGACGCGTCCTGAGGGTCGTGCGTTCAGGCCGCCGCCTCGGCGTCCTGGCGGGTGTTCCGCGTGCAACCTTCTCAATCGCCCGTGGTGGGCACAGTGCTATTCGTTCGCAGCAGTATCCTGCAGGCCTTCCTGGGCCCCCGCCCCGCCTGCAGTCTCAAGTCGACGAGGGCAACAAGTTGTTTTACAACGCTGTGAGAATATTCGGCCAGTGCATTCAATATCGAGTACCTTTTCTCTGGGAGAACCCGCAGAGCAGCTGCATGTGGCACGTGCCAGACACGATCCTCATCTCATCCGTTCCACAGGTGCTAGATGTCATCACTCACTACTGCGGTTGGGGCACTGCGCGGAAGAAGCCGACTCGATTTCGGACGTTCTTGCTGCTCGATGCCCAACGGTTACACAAGAGGTGCAAAGGGCGCGGATTATGCTCTTTCACTGGCGAGGCTCACCATATGCTGCAAGGCCGAGACGACAGTGGCGTTCATTGGACTCGGCGTGCTAATCCTTACCCTCCAGCGCTCGTCCGTCAGCTCTTTTTTTGTAAAAGCAAAATGTTTTGTTTTGTATTTTTCTTTCCTCTTATGTTTCTTTTTGTTCCTTCCTTATTCCTCTTCGCATTCCTGTTCTTTTCTTTTGTTTTCCTCGGGGCGCCGGCTCTGCCCTTCAGCCCCCCCTCAGCGCGCGCGCTTCGAGCGCGTAGAAGAGCCCGCTAAATTTGGCGGACGGAATGTTGCAGTAGGACAGGCCCCCTAAAGTTGGCAGTCAGATTGATGCTCGCGCGCGTCGCTCTCGACTCCCAAGCCTTCTGTTCAGAGGTCATGTTTTCCACGAGAGCGCTGCGGTTCATCTCATGTTGTTCAGAAAGAGTCTCGGAGTAGAAGCAGCTAATTGAGCGGGCTCGGTTTGCAGCTGGGGCTGAGAGATTCTCACGAATGTTGGACGCAGGTGCCCAGACAACCCTGCGTCGTCACATTTTCCATATTCTCTCTGGGTCCTCCGCCCCCCCTCCCCCTCCTCTCTGCGGGCGCAGCGTATCTTGCGCTGGCCGTCGTGGTCGTCAGATTGATGCTCGCGCGCGTCGTTCTCGACTCTCCCGAGCCATCTGTTCAGAGGTCATCTTTCTCACGAGAGTCCCGCGGTTCATCTCATGTTGTTCAGAAAGAGTCTCGGAGTAGAAGCAGCTGGTGATGACGATGATGCTGATGATGCCGATGCTGATGCTGATGCTGATGTTGATGTCGATGATGTTGATGATGGTGGTGATGGTGGTGATGATGATGATGTCCCGATGATGATGATGATGATGATGTTGACGATTGTTGTTGATGATGATGGTGATGATGGCCATGGTGGTGACGATGACGGTGCCCCGATGATAATGATGTCGATTATGATGAAGATGCTGATGATGACGGTGTCCCGATGACGATGATGGTGTTGATGATCCGGATGATATTGATGATGATGAGATGATGATGCGGATGATGATGATGACGATGAAGATGCTGTCGTCCCGATGATGATGGTGATGCTGGGGTTGATGATGATGTTGCTGATGGTGGTGATGGTGATGATGATGGTGTCCCGCTGATGATGGTGTTGATGATGATGATGACGATGACGGTGTAGGTGATGCTGGTGATGTTGATGTGGTGGCCCGGTGATGATGATGATGATGCTGATGTTGATGGTGATGGTGTCCCGATGACGATGATGATGGTAATGATGATGGTGACGAATATGATGGTTTTCCGATGATGGTGATGCTGATGATGATGATAGTGATGATGGTGTTTCGATGAGGATGATGAGATGATGATGATGATGATGGTGGTGGTGTCCCGATGATGATGGTGATGATGGTGTCCCGATGATGATGATATTGATGATGAGGATGATGAGGATGGTGACGATGATGGTGTCCCGATGATGGTTCTGGTGATGCTGATGGTGATGATGATGGTGATGCGGTGACGATGATGACGATGGTGTCCCGATGATGATGATGATGATGATGCTATTGATGGCGATGATGTTGATGATTATGATGATCATTCCGTTGACTGTGAGATCGATTGTGATATCGATAGTGAGACCGATAGTGAGACCGATAGCGATACCGATCGTGATATCAATGGTGATATCGATAGTGCGATCGATTGTGATATCGATAGTCATATTGACTGTGAGATCGATCGAATGCAATAGATCGAGTGGTATCGGTTGTGAGATCGATCGAGTGAGATCGATGGAGCGAGACAGATCGTGAGATCGATCGTGAGATCGATAGTGAGACTGATCAAGTGACACGTTGGTTCCTCCCCCCCCGAACCTGCTTATCACCCGAAGGGTGGTCGTTTTTTTTTTTTTTTTTTTTTTTTTTTTTTTTCAAATAAATAAATATATATATATATATATATATATAATATATATATATATATATATATATTATTATTTTTTTTTTTTTTTTTTTTTTAAAAAAAAAAAAAAAAAAAAAAAAAAAAAAAAAAAAAAAAAAAAAAAAAAAAAACTCAGAGCCATAACGCGCGTTATGCCCCCTGCCCTCCCCCCCTCCCCCCTAGCGTAACGCTCTCCCCCTCGGTGCGTCCCGGGACCTGCAGCAGTGCGTCCGGCACCACAGTCTGGGAGGGGCGGGGCACTACGTTATGTCCTTCCCGTCGCCCCCCCCTCCCCCACCCCTCACAACGCTCGTTGTGGACGCAAATTAGAAAATGCGCCTCTCCTCTGCGAAGTGCGTGCCTGGGTTGGGCCCGCGGCTGGCCGCCGCGCGGGCTACCCAGGTGTTGCCCGCGCCTGGAGCCGCCGCCGGCCTCTGGCCCAGCGGCCGCGGCTTCTGCTTTGGCCACTGCGGCGGCTGCGGCGGCGGCGCTTCAGTTTCGACGTCGTGTGGTCTTACAAATCTTCTGGCACGCTGCCGAGGCCGCTGCCTTATCTCATTTTCCCCTTTCGGGATAACCTCAGCGCCCTCGTCGCCGCGGCTGGGTGCGCTTCGGACGCCTTGATCAGCAGATCCCCCCCCAAGGGGGGATTTGCTGATCAAGGCGTCTCTGCGGCAGCGGCATCGGCGTCGGCAGCGGCATCGGCGTCTCTGCTCCCCCCCACGCGAGCGCCCACCCGGACAGGTCGACAGGAATTCTGCTTTGGTTCGTTCGACGTTGATATTCGCAGTGCGCCAGTGCAAACCCCGTCGGTTTCTCTAACCGACGCGTGTTTTGCATCATATTTACGTTCGGTCTTCCCCGTACATCGGCAGCTAGCTCGCCCAGTTGACACCGCGGTGCCCCGCGGGCACCCGCACATCGTTCCGCAGTTTCGCCATATCGTTTTTGTGGCACAGGACAATATGTGGTTGCTTTCCTACTTGAGGTGGGGAGCCGACAGTGCCTCCACTAGGAGACGAACAACTTAAGCCCTAAACCTACATGGAGGGCCCACTTTGCGCCGCCGTTCCTGAGGATCCCTGTCCGAGGCATGCCCACACGTCTTCAAGGTCGGGTTTGATGGTTCTGAAACTGATATGTTTGGATCCCCCCGCCCAGTCACCAATTCTACGTTTCAGTTGGAGTGCCTCTTAGGGTTCGTACCATGTTTCCTTTTCCAGGTAAGCCTCGAATTTCAAGCCGCGCCCGCCCCCGCCAGCGCGCCTACTAGGGTTGGCGCACCAGCGGCCTTCCGCCCTGGTAATGACTTCGACTCGCGCGAAAGACCTTCAGCAGCTGCAAAGCCACGCGCAGCAAAATCACGAACCGCTTACATCGACTTGTGGTGGGCACTCTCTCTCTCCCTTCTGCGCCTTACATCAGGTGGTCGGTTTGGTATGGGTTTTGGTGGCGGTGGTCCCCCGACTCGAAAGCCGAACCCCCACAACACGTTCTAGTGTGACCGCACTTTGGTTTAGGAGTTGTTTTGCGTTCCATCTGTTTGCCATATATCAATTCGTTGTGGCCTGGCCTATGTTTTGCAATCAGTGTCGAGCGGGCGCCCGACTGGGGACTGCGGAAGGTGCTGCTGCACGGCCTTACCGTGCCCATGGTGTCTCTGGTTCCACGCTCTTGCGCTCTCTCTCTCTCTCTCCTCCAGTTGCCGCGTGCTCTCCCTCTTCCCCCGTATCATCCTCTCCTCTCCCTCCTCATTCCTCCCCCTCTCATTCCCTTATCCCTCTCCCTCTCCCTCTCCCTTCTCTTTCACTCCCTCTCCCTTTCCCTCTCCCTCCCATTCCTCTCCCTCCCCCTCTCCCTGCTCATTCCCTCCCCCTCTCCCTCCTCCACTCCTCCCTGCTCCTCCTCCCGCTCGTCGCCCTCGCCCCCTGTCCTCCGTGCCGCCTGCTCCTCCTCGGCACACGCCGGGGGCCCTGTCGGGCCGAGCCTGTCCAGGGCCAGTGCGGGTGCGCAGCTGGCCTCCCCCCTGCCCCCACCGGTGTTCCTTTTCCGTCTTGCACTGGATTGGAACGTGCCCGTGTTTGAAGGAGGATCGTGCCCAGGTCGTGCACCGGAGAAGGGGAAAGACGTGTGGTACAGTGCTCGGAAGCAGGCCTCTTTTTTGTGGAGGCGCCTCGGTCAAAGCTTCACTCGAGCGAGTGAGAGAAGCGAGGGGCGGACTCGTCGCCCCTCCTCTCCTCGCCGTCCTGCTTTGCTCCACGTCGTCGCGGCGGGGGGGGCGTGCGTGCCTGCCAGGCCTCGGCATTCCGCGGCTCTCCTGGGCGCCCTCTGTCCGACATTCGGGAGCGCCTCTGGCGCGCGCGCGTCGCACAAACGGGGGGGGAGGAGGAGGAGGAGGAGGAGGAGGAGGAGGAGGAGGAGGAGGAGGAGGAGGAGGAGGGGGAGGAGGAGGAGGAGGAGGAGGAGCGAGGTGAGGATGAAGCAGACAACGTGGGGATAGGGTGCCAGTGAGGGAGGAACGTCGAGCGGAAAGAAGAGAATTGGGAACGATGAGACAGAGGGGGGGAGAAGAGATTAACAGAGGGGGGCAGCACGGAGCAGGCGGGGGGTGGCGGGCGGGAAGGTTGAGCAAGAGGAGGAACAGGAACGGGAGGACGAGGAGCACGGGGAGGAGTTTGAGAAGGTGCAGGATCAAGTGAGAGGAGAAGCACGAACAGCGAGGTAAGAGCAGATGGAGGAGGAGAAGGAGGAGGAGGAGGAGGAGCCGGATAGGAGAGGAAGAGGAGGAGGAGAAGCAGGAGGAGCAAGACGGGAAGAGGAGAGGATATACGCAATGAGCAGGAGGTATCGGAGAGGAGAACGAGGAGAATTGAGGAAGTGGAGGGATGAGCATGGACGTTGCTCAAAAGACACCAGCTGCACATACGAACAATTTCGAAGCTTCCCTGGGATGTCCTGGCTGCGCGCCCTCTCAAAGAAGATCTGGATCTGTATGTCCTCCCTGCTGGGACCTCTGGGCCTTCTCTGCACGTCCTGGTTAGTTCTTGTGTGACCCTCGGGGAGGAAGGATCCACTGAGGCCACCTCGGCGAAGTCGGGCACCTGTTTTTTTCGGCAGCGAGCGAGGGAGGGAAGTGAGAAGGAGAAGGCCTTCTCAGAAAACGGCGGGTGGGGCCTGGGTGCCCTCGGGGCGGTTGGGGCCTCGGGGGCTGGGGTGAGCGTCTCGGTGCCCTCAGATCCTGCGTCCTCGTCCTCGTCCTCGTCCTCCTCCTCGTCCTCCTCCTCGTCTTCCTCCTGCTCCTCCTCCTTCTCATCCTGAGGGTCTCCGCGCGAAAAACGCTGTGCGAAGAACGGTGCGCTCTTTGAAGATTCGAAGGCCCAAACTCAAGGAGGGGAAAACCACCCCGACCCCCTTGTACGGTGGCGGCCCATGCCAAGAAACACCCTGCTTGCCACCAGGGTGCCCTGGGTTTCTTGGGTTTCGATGGTTCTGCTGTGGAAAGCGTGACGTTCCCTCACTACAAATCAATGGACGTCCTGGGTTTCTTGTGGAAGGTTTCTTGTGGACTGGCCTCCACTGTGCAGAAACCATGCGCCAGCCCTGGGGCACGGCGCTTGGGCACCACTGCCGTCACTGAGCGGGGTCTCTGGCAGGACGCGTGGGCGGAACGAAGCAGCATAACGCCCGACTGCGAAGCAGCGCTGAAACACATGGGGAGAGGAGGGGGACGACGATCTTTTTCACAGCGGGCGTTTCGCCTGGTTTCGGGACCTAGGTCGTTCTGGCTCGAACAGTGACGTGATTTGTTCGCGATGTTGTTCTTTTCGCAACGTAACGTCGGATCTCAGGACCTCTTGGGGCGCCTGGCCGCCGCTCTCATCGAGCTCGTCTCGGCGGGGGGACGGCGGCCACCTCTGGGGGCGGGTGCCCGCCGAACCTGCGGGTCGGAGGCTGCCAGAGGGTGAGCCCGGCCTTGGGGTGGCCCCCTGTCGGTTCGCCCCGTTTTGGTGCCTCCGGCGCCGCGTAATGGTGGGGCGAGAAATCGGAGAGAGAAGGAAGTGTTTGTCGCCGCAGTGCCAGGCGCAGCTCGAGAAGTGGCCAGGATTGACAGAGGGGTCCGGGGACGACCTTCGCCGCGCTGACGGGGCGCTGAAGGGAAGGGAAGGGAAGGTTTTTGTTACGTTTTCGGCCCCTGGGGGCCTGATCCCGAGTCTTGGGACTGTCTGAGGACAACTCGAGATGAAACACCAGTCCAGGAGTTCAGGGGAAAGACACAGTGTCGAGGAACTGTTTCTGGGCACCCCTTTCAGACAGCATGGGGTTTGGGAGGCTTGTTCGATCGATGGATGATCTGGTGAACGCAGCGTGCTCGTCAGCGCCGATGTGGAACATGAGCGCCCCCGCCCAGAGGTATTTGCGGTTGGGGCCGATGTCTCGAGGTCATTCGACGAAGGCTTGGGGTTCAAGGGGTTCGCTTCCATCGATCTCTGTGGCCAGGCGCAGCGCGCGCGCCGATCTGCACCGATGAGGACAAGCAGAAATTCCCGAATGGCTCGTGTGTATGTATAGACATGTCATACACATGATTACGATAGATACAGAAATAGCCAGACGAGCATAAATATTAATGCATATTCTATATACATAGGTTTGGGTGGGTTTGGCCGTTGGCGGGTGTCAGGCAGGCCCAGGGTGAATATTTCTGTTTCGCACTGTTCTTAGTGCGTTCCGGAGCGCTTTGGGACGGCCGCGGCGCCAGATACACCCTCTAGAACCGCCAGTTGTCGAAGTTGCCCGATGTATCTTAGCCCGGTTGTATTGTTAATAGTGTTTTTGTCTGGTGTCCGTACATCCGGGCGAGTCTCCGCCAGGCCACGCGGCAGTTCAAGTTGGTGGCGGAGGCCTATTCGGTGCTGAAGGACCCTCAGAAGCGGGCGGCCTACGACGCGGGTGGCCAATCCGCTGGCTACGAGTGTTCCTATTTGCTTCTCGTCGTCATCAACTTCTTGCTCCTCCTCCTCTGTCCCTCCTGGACAAGATCTTTCGGCACAGCCTCGCAGCAACGCGTCTTGGTGGACACATCTTAAGTACATGTGTTTCTGGATGGTGAAGAGAGTCTTCCCACTCTGGTGGCAATCTTACTGAAGGAAGACGACGGAGAGGGTGGGGGGTGCGAAGATGGAAGGTAAGATAAGAGCGCGATGCCGAGGTGGGTGAGGAGAGAAATGCGAAGAGGATGAGGGGTGTTCGTTGAATCTGGCGCGCGAGGTGGTCTATCGTCGGCTGGGTGTCCTGGGCAAACGCCACGGGACGCAAACATCAACATAGAGAAGGCATGCGCATCTCGATTTTATGGTCCCTCTCGCTCTCTCTTTGAACGCTTTGGGATTATCCTCCCCAGGTAGGCGCGTCCTCTGGAACTTGCTTGCACTTGGCAAGTCTCAGATGCAAAAGTGTAACATGCAGCGATTTCCCAACGTACCCGGCTGTCGCTAAATAATCGTGGAGGTGTTGTGAGTATTTTGCCAGTTGATGGGGCAAGGCACTGGATGCACGTGTATGTTTTTCTGGGTGAGTTCTCTTTGATGCTTTCCCCACGTTCGGGAGCGTCCTCGTTCGCATTCCTCTCGCGTCAGCATTCCTTCCTGGGCATCCTGATTCTCCTGTCTTCGCGTCCTCCTCCTCCTTCATCCTCATTCCTCATTCCTCCTCTTCCTCTCTCCTTTTGCTCCTCCACCCCTCAGGGCGAAACAACAGAGCAGAGCCGACGACTCTGCCAAGCTGCTTGGAGAGCCTGGCAGATGCTAGAACTTCCTTGCAGGGGCTCGGGGCGGGCATGTTCTGTTTATTATTGTAGCTCCTTTCTTGACGAAAATGGCGTGGAACTGGAAGTCGTACAGTTGGTTCGTGCCGTTTCGACGCGGTGGCGATCCCAGCGTGGGTTTTTCAAATGTTGAACGACTCCATGTGGCCCCGAATCGACACATCGGACGACCCACGCTATCGGGAATCCAGCTATCGTTCATCTATGATGGAAAGACCCATCCTAGAGGAGGAAGCGGGATAATGAGGAAGAGGGGAGCGTGGGAGGAGAGACGGCGCATGCGGAGGAGGACGTGGAGAAAGAGGAGGCGCAGGAGGGAGAGGAGGAGGAGGAGGAGGAAGAGGAGGAGGGGAGATGACATTAGGGAGGGAGGACGGAAGAACGAACTGATGGCGGAAGATCAAACGAGGCGTACGAGGTGGAGGGCGTGTTCCTCATCCCGTGTCCTTTTGTCCTCCTTGAGTCGGCGGGGGCAACGGCGTGAGGATGGCATGAAGGAGGGAGGAAGAAAGGACAATTTGTTGGCGGAAGGGAGGCATGCGAAGGGTATGAGGTGGAGGATATTTGCATCATCCCTTATCCCATCGCCCCCCCTTCAGTCCCCCCTTCCTCTTCTGAGCCTGGCCCCGTCCTGTGCCCGCCGCAGGTACAGGCGGACAGTGTCGTAGTCAGCGAACTCTCGGCGGCTGGACAAATGTCTGGGAAGGACGGCGTTCATCAGGTGTATACTCAGTAGGTTCGCTCGGGGGCTGGATGGAGAGTCGAACGCCCAGTTGTGCACGCCCTGGTGGCCGAGCGGCAACGGCCGTGGACAGCATCCATGATGAGCGACAGAAACCACCATCGGGCGATTGAGCCTGGCCGGGGGAGGATGATTGAGAAGGAGGAGGAGGAGAGGGTGAAGAGGAGGAGAAGGAGGAGGGGAAGGAAGAAGAAAACGAGGATGATGAGGAGCAAGGAGGAGGGGCGGATGACGACGAACAGGGCAGCGGCCGAGGCGACAAATGATGAGGAGGAGGAGGAGGAGGAGGAGGACGTGGAGGGGGTTGATGAGGAGAGGGGAACATGGGAAAGGGGGGAATGGGGGAGAAGGAGGGCGCGGGGAGAGGGGGATGGGAGGGGGCGATGGCGACGACGGAGGGAGCGGGAGCGGGGGGGAGTAAGAAGGAGCCAGAAAGGGTGGGGTGGGGCGCGGGGGGGGTTTTCCGCGCCCGTCAAAATTTCAGGGCGCAGCAATCACGTAGAGACCTATGGAGGACCCCCCAACAAGAGTTTGGAGGGAGTCTCTATTACAGAGTAGTTGATGTGTCTTGGGCATTCTTGGGCGTGCACTGATATGCTTTCCTCCTCCTCCTGCTCCTCCTCCTCCTCCTCCTCTTCATCCTCCTCCTCCTCCCTCTCCTCCCCCGTAGCTTTTTTGGCTCAAGAGTTCTGCTTGGCCGCGACAAGCAGTGGATACTGCTAGTCCGCGGCCAGCTTCCATCCATTCCCCTGTTTCGTCCCAGGGAGAGCGCCCAGGTGGTCCGCCCCACCTAGGCGCAACCAACCAGAACGCTCTTGGGGGAGACTGCGCCAGTCTCCTCCATGGGCAAGAACCAGTATGGGCACACCAAGTGTGCGCAGTGCGGCTACACGTGGACCTGGAACGGCCGCGACACCTGCTTCAAGTGCTCCGCCCTTTTCGAGGTCCCGGAGGCACTCTTGCGCGAGGCCCATGGGGCCTGGTCCCCTTGGACCGGACACCAGGATCCAGGGTTTTCTGGAAGCACGTTGGGAGCCGAGGGAAAGGAAAACACGCTGAGCACGCACATGGAACATCACCATCCTTGGGCGAGCTGCTCCAGGCCCTCGATCGCCACGTCGACTCTTCCAACCAGAGTGCGCTCGAGGACTTCAAGAAGAATGCGCAGCCGCCGCCCAGGGAGCAGCCCGAGTTGCCGCACTCGATGTACCAGCGCCTCATGGCGGTGAAAAAGCGTGCCAACCAGGTGCTCGAGAAGGTGGCCACGTCAGAGCGGAAGGTGATTACTCGGTTCGACGAGTGCCGCCAGCGCACCTCCGAGGCAGCGGAGGCACTCGCCAAGGCACAGAAGGAGGTCAGCGAGACCCTCGCCATCATCAGCCGCGAGCGGGGCACCGGCGGCCCCCCACCTGTGGCAGCCGCGGCCCCAGCTTTCAACCTCACGAAGCTTCTCGCCGAGGACTTGGACCAGCTGGGCTACGAGGAGGGCGAGGCGTTATCCACAGAGGGTCTCGAGCTCGACGAGAACGAGAAGAAGCAGTGGGAGCCCCACTAGGCCGCCTTCGTCAAGGAGATCAAGGCCGAGGTCAGGCAGGCCTTCGGCGCCACCGCGGAAGAGTTGCAGCGCCGTCGCCGCGAGTTGGACGGGTTCGAGCCCACCTTCAGGCTGAGTGCGGCGCGCCACCGACGCGGCCGAAGGGCAGGCGCCCCCAGCCCGTCGCCCGATGGCGCAGCCGCCGCGCCCCTACAGGCGAGCCCGCTGCCCCCCCGCCTGGGCAGGGCATTGCGACGTGCGCGGGGCCTGCGAGCTCTGCCAGCGGCGCTGATGCCGACGCCCCTGGCGGCGATGCTGCCGGGGTGGCCCGCGAGGCCCGCCAGCGCGCAGCCGTTGCAGCTGCCGCGGCGCGTCGGGCCCCGAGCCCTCCGCGCCGCCGCGCCATCGGGGCCGGTCGATAGTGCTTCGGGGGGGCGCCCCATCAGAAGCCAGGGCTTCAGCTCATTGGACCAAACGCAAACGCCTGCCCCGCTGCCCTCGACTACGTCGACGAGGCAAAGGACTTGGCACTCTGTCGCATATCGTTATTGCACGAGCTGCGCCTCTCCGCCGACTGGCGCCTGGAGGTAGAGGCAGCCTGCTACGCGAGGGGCCCCATTTCCGCTTGCACCTCATCCACCTGAGGGCCCAGGCGGAGGACGAGGCGCAGGCGCTGGGCCCCTGGCCCCGCGCATCTTCGGCATGACCGCCCTGGGCGGCAAGGCCAGCCATGACCGCTCACCTCCGGGATCGGCTGGAAGCTTTACTGCGGGATGGGCCCCGGCAGGACAGGCAGGAGCGCCGATGTTTATCGCGGCCTGCTCCTAGACCAGCGAAGCCTGGGCGATAATCAACCTGTCCATGTTAAATGCGATGGGCGACTTGGTTTTCTACCTGCGGGATCCCCTGGGTGTTGCAGGCCGATTTCAAACGTGTCATCGCGTCCCTGGACAGTACGGGATGGCTCGAGAACGTCGCTGGAGTGCCAGTGCCGACTGCGCCAGACCAGCTCGCGCGCGCGGGTGTCGGCGGTGGAAGAGCGTTAGATTACTTCGTCGTGGATTGGTCCATTGCCTCGGACTTCGCCAATGCCGCGGTCTTGGACAATTCGACGTGCCCCGCCGCCCCGTGCCGGTCACAGTCCACTCGCGCGTTCGGGCCTAGCGCGGTTGGAGATTGGCCTGGTCGAAGCTGCTCCCGCGATGGGTCCCGATTGGATGCCCGACGCCGTCAGCTCGTCCTGAGTTCCGCGTCGATCGCGACTAGGGCGGCGATCAACTGCGCGGCAAAAGGAAGTTATTCTCGCAGTCGGCACAGAGCGAGCTGGCGGGCGCGTGCCAAGTGCAGCACCCCCTGAGGACTACCGCGGCCGCGGGGGATGCCTGCGGCTGGTCTGTCCACCGCTTGCTGGGCCAGAACCGCACGGTCGGCCGTGGGGTGCTGCATTGTCGCGCAGCTGGCGGCCGGTAGCATCCCGTGCTAGTGATAGGGCGCCCTCATCACAGGCAGCCTTGGCAGCGGGATCCCAGGCCAAGTTCGCAGCGACATGGCGTCGTCTTCGGCGGCGCATCTTCGCAGGCGAACTCTGGATTGCCCCGCTTGGGGGAACGTGCCGGCGAGATCCGCCTGGGCCTACTCACCTTTCTCCACTTCAGCCTCGCCGGGGTCTCGCTGGGGGAGGAGGCCCACCCCATCATTGCACTCCATCGCGAAGCCCTAGATATCGCGCGTCGCGTTGAGCTACAGCAAGCAGATGAGCGGGCCAAGCAGTGGGGCGCCCGCCCGAAGAATGCCTCGCGCTGGCTTCATTCACTGGCCGGCGATGTGGAAGGCGCCGCCCAGGCCAGTGGAGAATCGCGGTTGCACCTCCTGCCAGCTGGATGGCCGCGGCAAGCTGCTGACGCGAAGGCCAAGGATTAGTTCGACGTCTGGGGTAGCCGCCAGGACATCAGCGCTGGCCCACCGCATCGACCACTGGAAGATCTCGAGCACGATGAGAACGCGCTGTCAGGCATGGCCGACTTCAGCCCTGAGAAATTCCGAGCCATCTGCAGAGCCTTCAGTTTCACGCGGGCACTGGCATCGACAAGTGACAGCCCAGATGGAGGAGATGGCTACCTGATGGCGAAACGCAGCGCTTATATCCTTTTGCACAACGTGCCCCGCAAGGCACACTGGCCGCCGCAGATGCGGTTGAGCATGTGTTTCTTCGCCCCCAAGCCGAGAGGAGGCACCGCGCCGCTGGGGCTCGCCCCCGCGCCCGCGCGAGCGGTCGAGAGAGCGCGCGCCCCGCTGCTGCGCGCCTGGGAGAATATGATCAAAAGACCCTGCGACGCAGCCGCGCCTGGAGGAGGCACCGGGGGCGCGACGCGGCCCCATGTGCTGGTCGACGAGGGCGTCGGCATCTCCAGGGGCATCGCCGCCGCAGCGGGGGCCCTGGACCTCGAGGGGGCGTTCGAGCACGCCTCCGCGCGCAAGCTCTGGGAGGTCGCGGACGAGGTGGGCTCCCCGTGCAGTTGTTTCCGCTCGAGATCTCCATCTACACCTGCGAGCGCTACGTCGGCTTCAGGAGCGTCCTCAGCACGCGCACGGGGGCCACCTACTCCGCGGTGGTGTCTCGGAGCTCAGGAGGAGCGAGGGCGCTCGAGATTGCGGTGGTCCGCGTGGTGGACCGCGTCGCAGAGAGGTGGCAGCCGCTGTTCATTAAGTTTTTCATGGGTGGCTTCAGCGCCCAGGGGCGCGCGGACCGCGCCGCCGCGCCCGAGGGGGTCAGGGGCGCCATCGCCTTTTGCGTCGAGCAGATCTAGGGCGAGGGCCTGCCCGTCTCTCGTCGCCGCCCGGGAGACCCTGCTGGCAAGGGCCTCGTCTTTGCCGCGGCTGAAAGAACTCGCGGGGCTCGCCGGCGCGCGGCAGCTGGGCTAGGCCCAGCTTGGCGAGGACAGTGCCGGGGGCGCCCAGGTTGAAGTCAGAGGGCGAATTTGGGGTGGGGCGAACGACCAGAACGCGACGGCGCAAGATGATCGCGCGCGCGCTCGGCAGCGGGCGCGAATGGCGAGGTCACCCGCCGTGGCCTGATTTTCCCCCTGACTTATGGCTCCGCGCGTTTAGGCATGGACCCCAGCAAACCCAACCGGACGATGCAGCTAGTGGCCGGCAGTCTCGGGGATGCCGCGATCGGGATGGACCGTGCGATTCGGTTGTGGCTGCGCCTCGTTGGCCCTGCCGCTAATGCTTGCACTGAGCCACTCGTGCGCTGGGCCGCCGCTGTCTTCGATGATGAGAGCCTTTCCGACGCGTGGGCAGGCTGGAAGCAGGCCAGCAAGATGCAAGAGGTTGGCCGCCAAGCCTTTTGCCAACGGCTGGCGCCATGTCTGGCCCAGCCTCAGCAGTCCTTGCCACCCTCCATAGGATCGGTTGGCGCTGGCCTGCGTGCCGCGCGCGCCTCGCCCACGCGGGAGAACTCCTCGGCCTCCGCCGTCTCGCCCTCGCTTCCATCAGGCTCCTGGCGGCTGCTAGTGTAGAGGTGCTGGAGCTCACTGGGTGGGCCACTTTCCAGGGGATTGCAGTTCCCCCGCCCGCTCCTGAAAGCAATTCGGGCCGTCCCTCGGCAGACGAAACATACACCTGGTCGCCAGCGGGTGATCATTGATTTGCTTCACAAGCCTTTCTGGAATCAGGACCGCATATGGAAGACTGGCCACAGTGATTCTCTCGATCTTTGCCATGCCCCGCGGGGCACGCAGCACCACCGTGTCTGCGTCTGCCTTGTAGATTGGGATGCTAGGGAGGAGGCGGCCGAGGAAGCGCCTGCGATTGTTCAGCGCGTTCGGGCATCGATCGACTCCTCGCTCCTCTTTGCTAGATGTCTCACGGCCCATCTCATCGAGTGCCCATTCACTCAGGTGCAGGTGCACCGAGAGATGCTGAATGCTGACTTCGTGGGCTACCCTAACGTCTCAGGCCACACATGCTCCGACGGTTCGAGAATTTGCCCCCCATGGTCCCATGGTGCAAGAGCTATGGTTTGGGGCTTGCGTTTCTGAGCGATGATGGGGGTTATTCTGGAGGGTGGTAGAGGCACCCTGGGAGGACACAGAGTGAAAAGCTCGGTGCTTCGAGGGGGGCTCGTGTGCTTGCTGGAACTTTTTCAGCACGGATGCCCACTTCTGCAGGCGGGAGTCGATCTCGCCACAGTGGTCTAAGGTTTTGCTAGAGGCGGGGTGCGGCACACCCACGGACGACGCCCGCTTGCGGACCTCTGGCGCCAGATCTGGCGCCTCATCTAGGATTCGTTTTCGGCCCCGTGCTCACTTGGGCCGTGGCCCCGCGGGCCTCCACGGCCCTGAGAGGCTCGGCGCCATCGGGAACGCCCGGGCCGACAAGGAGGCAAAGGCTGGGGCGGAAACGGGCGATATCCCGCCGTGGCTCAAGGAAGTTTGGAGCGAACGCCCCGCTGATGTCTGTAATCTGTGCAACGTTGCGGCTTGCATGACCATGCGCGCCGGCTCCTTACAGGACACCAGTGGCAGAGAGAATCAGGGGTCTGGGGCTCGCGAGAGGCAACGGGCTCGCGCGGGGTCTGGCCCGCCTCGCGGCTCTTCCCCGCACCTCCTCCGCTGGGACAGGAAGGCCTGGAGGTGTCAGAATATGGGCTGCGGCAAGCGCGCGCGCGCGCGCTCCGCGATCGGAGCAAAAGACAGCTGCTCAAGACCGCTGGCCACAACGCCCCTGCCAGAGACTCGCGGTTCCAGCCTCCAGAGGGTGCCCGCTGAGGGCCACCGTTGCGCCCGCGCGTCGTTGTTCGTGCGGGAAGGTACCTGTTCTGTGGCAGCGGCGGGGCCTTCTCGAGTGGAAAGGCCGAGAGGATTTTGTTGGCCTGCGATGGGGGGCCTGCGTACTCGCAGGCACTTTGTCGCAGGGGGAAGCTCTTGCGTGGAGAGCACCCCTACACGGGGGCTAGACTTTGCGACGGACCTGCCGAGCCGCTCGCGCCAAACGGAGCGGCGAAGGTCCGCGCTGCACTGCTCAGCGCTGGTTAGCCGACGGGGGGCGAAAGTGGCAGGAGGCGCCATCCCGTCAGGCCACCAGCGCGCCACCTTCTCAGGCTTCGGTTAGCAGCAGAGCGCAACCAGGGGAGATCAGGAAGAAAAGAGCTCCCCGTCCTCCCCCTCCGCCCTCTCCTCCCCCTCCTCCTCCTCCTCCTCCTCCTCCTCCTCCTCCTCCTCCTCCTCCTCCTCCTTCTCCGCTACCTTTTTCATCCCGTCTCTTTCTCCGCAGGCTTTTGAAAACCCCGGCATTGACGTAAAAGCAAACGCCCCCGAGCGTAGCACCTCTATCTCGGACCTTGGATTCTGCCCCCCCGACCCTTCCGCCCCCGGCCGCGACGACGATGGGGCGGGTGGGTGGCGACGGCACACTTCGACAACGACGACAACGGCAACGACTGCGTCGGCGATAGCGACGGCGTCGGCGATAGCGACAGCGACGGCGACGACGACGACGAGGACGACGACGACGACGACGACGACGACGACGACGACGACGACGACGACGACGACGACGAACGACCAACGGCGAACGACGAACGACGAACGACGGCGGCGACGGCGACGGCGATGGCGACGACGACGGCAGGCGGCGGCGACGAAATGCGGCGGCGACGGAAGGTGGCGGCGACGGGCAACGGCGAAGGCCACACGACGGTTACGGCCATGGCGCGATGGGCCCCCGGAGCGTGCCGGCTGCGCCGCCGCCGCTCGCGGGCGCAGGCCCGCGACCTGTTCCGGGAGGTTTTCGGCGCCGAGTTCGCCGACGCGCTCGCGACGACGGTGGTTTCCTTTGTTGGGGAAGAGCAGCCCCTACTTCCTTGCTCTCCTCCGTCCCCCCTGCGTCCTCCGCCCTGCCTCGCTTCCTCTGCCTCCTTCCCTACCCCCCGAGCATTTGTTTTTGTCCTCTCCCTCTTTGTCCCCCTCTTTTTTTCTTGCTTCTAATCCCTCTCTTTCCTCTTTCCCTCTCATTTTCCCTCCCTGCCAGTCTCGTGGCTCGTCATGCCCGAATCCCAGAATCCGTTCTTTTCCTCCTCTCCTCCTCCTCGATCCATCCTCTTTCCTCCTTTCTTTCCTGCCGCATCCGCGAACGCGCGAGCATAGTTGTTTGCCGCTGGCGCTGTTTATTTTGGCCCCCCTGGATGTGCGAGGTTATTTATTTAGGTTTTTTCTTTTTGCTCAATTATCTCTCATTATCTCTCTTTGTTTCTCTCTTTCTCTCTCTCTGTTGTCTCTCTGTATCTCTCTCTTTTTCTCCCTCTCTCTTTCTCTTTCTTTCTTTTTCTTTCTCTCTCTCTCTCTCTCTCTTTCTCCCTTTCTTTATACATATATATATGTCTCTCTCATATGGTTGTGTTTGTGTTTCTCTCTTTCTCTCTCTCTTTCTCTCTCCGTCTCTCTCTCTCTCTCTCTTTCTTTCTCTCTCTCTCTCTCTCTGTGTGTTTCTCGCTTTCTCTCTCTCTCTCTCTTTCTCTCTCTCTCTCTCTCTCTCTCTCTCTCTCTCTCTCTCTCTCTCTCTGTTTTTCTCGCTTTCTCTCTCTCTCTCTCTTTCATGTTTCTCGTTAGCTATCTCTTCCATTGTTTTCTCCCGTGATATCTTGTTGTGCCTCTCTCTCTCTTTCCCGCTTGCTTGTTTTTGTTGTTGCAATTGGTTGTTCTCTCTCTCTCTCTCTCTCTTTCTCTCTCTCGTCAAACAAGGCAATAGGTGCCCTGACATGTTCCACACAATTTGCGCGCGGATCCGAGAGAGAGAGAGAGAAAAAAAAAAAAAAAAAAACTCCACCCACCCGCAACCCAGCTTTAAACACATGGGAGCTTGAGGTAGCGTACAACGCGAACCACCACAAGCGGGGCAACCTGGATACCGCGGCGAACCTTACGCCCGGCCCTATGCCCTTGGCGTGCAGACCACAGGCGCACGCCAGGTGACAGGCGCAAACGCGTCGCAAGGACGCGACGGCTGCCGCTACCGCAGGGGCGACCAACCCCTTGATCCCACCGTGATGTCTGACCCCATATGACCCCAAGGCCCCGCAATGGAGGCCAAGGGTCACCCATGTCAAGCCACACCCGCGCCTGTCAGAGCGTCACTCATTCAACAGGCGTGCGCCAACAATGGGGGCACCATGTGGCTGAGCAGCCGAAGTCCACCACGATCCTTAAATATTGCCGACTGCTCGCAGGGCGCGCCCACACCACCCCAGAGCGGTGGTTCGACGTTGTCCTTTTTTGAGTTGGTGCACCGCTGCACCCCGAAGCTCGGGCGCGTGACGTGCGCGCGGGCCCCAACACCACAGAAACCACAATGAAGAATTCATATTTCTGCCTGCGCGGGTACTTTCACACAGCCGCCCGAAACCATGACTTCGTCGACGGCGACATGGACATTTCAAAATTACGAGAACATCACCACCACCGCGATGCAAAAGGCTGGACATTACTTCCAATACTCTTGGCCACGTGATCCGACATGGTGCCGCGACCGCCGCGGCCCAGAACAAGCCGCTTCCTGGATTTGGCGCCTTCCCCGCCGCAGCCGCGGCATTGAACGCCGCCAACCGTTCGGGGGCGACCACTGGCGCCCACCGGCTCAGGGCAATGCGGCCCTGCCAACCCGCGCCGCGCCGATTGGGGCAACCCCGCCGCGGCTAACTGCCGCCGCTAGAGCTCCCACCCCGAGGCGAAGACCCAACGGGGAACCCCGCATCAGCCCCGCCAAGGTCCGTCAGCCCGGGCCAGGCCCTGGGCGCAGCGCGGGATCGCGAAGTTCTGAGGGCCCCAACGCCCGGGGTGGTCGGCAGCGCAGACGCGACCAGGGCTGTGCCCTACAACGGCACATCCGACACGCCGCGGGCCTCGCACCGATCGGCAGTGCACCCTAGCAGAGCCCCAACCAACAGAGGGGGCCAGCCCTGGCAACCCACGCGAGGACGCACTCCCCCGCGCCAGCGTGCTGCAGGGGCGGCCGCGCCCCCCTGCGCGGCTCGGTCAGACCACAGGCGACCCGGGCCCACGTGCGAAACCTCTCGCGAGGAGCCGGAGGGCGCCGCGCAGCGCGGCGCCGCCGAGATGCCGCCTGCCGCGAGGCGTTGCGACGCAGCCCTGCTGATTCAAACACCGACAGGGGCGACGGCCCTGACCAGACAGCGACTGTCGGCGCCGCAGGGGGCCAGGGCGAAACAGCTGAACACCACGGGAGGCAATCTCGATCGCCGACGCCATCAGCTGGGCCGCCGCCAGGGCGCCGCGCCAGCCAATCGCCAGGGCAGGGGCGACGGGCCAGCTCCCGACGCGCCCAGCAGGCCCCGTCGCCGCAACAGGCACCCCCGCAAACCCGCGCGGTCCGTCGTGCAATGTCAGCCCCGCGCCAGCAGCTGAACCCACCGCTCCGCTCCATCGGCCGAGGCGCCGCTCGCGGGCGCCCCTCCGCAGCCGCGCGGGCCTCGAGGGCTGAAGGAGCCGCTGGCGCGCCGGGCGCGGGCTGGCCCAATAAATGCGCGCAGGGCCCCCGACGAGGTCTCTGGCGGCAGCGCGCAAGCGCTGCCGTGGGGGCTGATCGACTGCGACCCGCCGACCTTTGGCGCCTCCCTGAGGCAGCGCAGGAGGAACTAGCCGCCGTCCTGAACGCGGCAGGAAAGACGCAGACATGGCCCCGCCAGCTTCTAGTCACTGCTGGGGCAATGGGGCGCAGAAGGGCAGCGGCCACTGCGCACTGGGCCCCCTGCCCGAGATGGCCAGGCCGCGGTCTATGGGCCGGGGGGATCATGCGCAGGAATGGAAATCAGGATTGTTCTGCTCGTTTGGACGTTGTCGCCAAAAGCATCTCCGCTGTTTCGACGGGGCCCTGCGAGAGGAACTTGTAGCGCAACTTCGGGTACCGCAAGGACATGGGCTCACAGGCACTTCGGAGTTTTATGCTGCTGTGAGCTGATCCAAGCTTGGGCAGCGGGCCCTGGATCTGGACTTTCCCGTTGAAGTATTGGGCCTGGAGATTCGACAATGCATGACGCCATGGGCGCTCGCGCAGAGTGGGGCCTTTGCTGAGGCCTTCGCAACCGCCGGGTCGGCGGTGTTAGGGCTCCGCTCGGGAACCGTATTCGCTGAGATCGTGACATTTCGGACATTGCAGCGCATCGCAACTGACTATGGGCAACTTACCCAGTGGGTTTGAATTGACGATCTGCCCCAGCGCACGCAAGGCAGCAGTCGCGTTTTACGCGGGGACGCGGTCCGATGCCTCGCCGACATCTGCAAAGCCATGACGGCCAACGGCCTCGCCGTCGCCAAGGAGATCGCCGCTCTCGGCAGCTCGATGGGCGACGCCAAGTACATCGCCAGTGCGGGGAAAAAAACGAAGCATCCCCATCCAGGCGAAGTCCCCGGTCAGCAACCTCGGCGTCAACCACGGGGCAGGCGTCCGACGCGCCAGGGTGGCCGCCGCGAAGGGCAAGCGCAAGCACGCCAGCATGAATTGCAAGATCATTATGCGTGCCCGTGCCACCCGTAGGGGCCACGGCGCCAGCAGGCTCGCCCATCAGGGCGGGATTGCTGCCGGGGCATGCGCGCATCAGTGGGGCCCAGGCTGCAGGGGAAATGCCTCGCCGCGCTGCTTGATCTCTAGGCGGCCCAGCGCGGCCCCGCCAGGCGCGTCCCACGCGGGGCCATCCAGGCCCAGCTCAGCACATGAATCGCAGCTGGCCCACTGCAGAGGATCACTCAGCATGCCCGGGCCAAGGTCGCCGGCACTTTCCGCGGCGCGCCGGCGGCCCAGGGGGCGCGACGCGCGCGGGGGCCACAGCCCATCAGCAAGTGGCAGGAAACCGTTCTATCTGTGACAGGAGACCCAGGGCGCATCCTGCATCGGCGGAGATTGAATGCTCAGTTTTCGGCTGTTCAAGCGCAGCGCAAAGTTGGCGATCCAGGCGCTCGCACGCGTCGCTGCGTCGGTCTGCGTGAGCCAAAGCCCCCGCCACGCTCGAGCAGGAGAGGGAGGGGGGCACAATTGCCTCGACGCCATGGCGCGCGCCGCATCCAGATGAAAAGAAGGCCGCTGCTGCAAGTGCGACAACGGTACACCTATCATTCATTACTACTACTACGACTACTACAAATACTGCTACTACTACTACTACTACTACTACTACTACTACGACGACGGCAACCACTACAACTAATATTTGAATTATACTATTACAGTGCGACAGCGACTACGACGACTACGACTACTACTACGGCTACGACTACGATTACTACGCCTACTATTGCTAATACGACTACTACCACTGCTATTTCTACTACTACGACTACTAGTACGCCTGCTATTTCTATAACCACCACCATTACTACTACTAATACTTTTACTACTACTTCTTCGACCGCTACTACTACTACTACTACTACTACTACTACTACTACTACTACTAATCGTACCGCTACTACTACTACGACTACTACCAGTATCACCACTACTACGACTACTAGTTCGATCCGTATTATTATTGCTGCTGCGGCTCCGACTACGACTCGTACTACTACCATTAGTAATATCATACTACTACTACTACTACTACTACTACTACCACCTACTACCACCACTACTACTACTACTACTACTACTACTACTACTACCACCTCTACTACTACTACTACGACTTCTACTACTTCTACTACTACGACTACTACTATTACTACTACTACGACTAGTACTACTACTACTACTACTACTACTACTACTACTACTACTACTACTACTACGACTACTACCACTAGTACGAGCACCACCA